CCAGGAAGCAAAGGCAGTTCACTTTTTCTGTCATGAGACCCACATTACAGCCTCCTAGAAGGAAAAAGAAACCTGGGACATTTTGAGATACGCCCTCTCTGCTCGCTTTGAGGGAGGCAAAGGAAGACCTTGCTCCTCGCCCCCAAGGTCTTCCTTTCTGAGACAATTGGCCACCCTTACCCTGACCCTGAGCTGCTGAGAGGGAAGTAGCTGGCACAGGCCGTGGGGACAGCCAAGGGAGGGAAGGCTGGAGGAGAGCCAAGGCCATTCAGCAGTGGGAGAAGGAAGAAGCCAAGCCTGTCCCCTCCCCTCCCCCCCGGGGCAGGCTGCAACCCTCCCTGGTTCCTGGGAAAGAGCTGAGTGACAAGGAGAGGGGTCTCAAAGCAGCATGTCAGACCCCGAGATGCTAAACTGAACATAATTAACTATTCCTTGTGGACTTCCAAGTCTGCTGATTAGCAGGGACCCCCAGAGCCGCTGGTGCACATGTTCCCAAGAGCTAAAGGCCACGTGGGTAGGATGACATTCAATTGCACCACTTGGTCTCAGCTCTCATGGAGCAGAAACACATCACAAATGTTAGGAACTGGCTTTGCCTTTGGCTAACTTAAGGTCCAGTCTCACCCCTGCCACCCACTTGGGTAAAGCCTTCATCTCTCAGGCTCCTCATCTGCGAAAGGGGACTAATAGCCGCATCTGCCCCCAGGTTTAGGTGAGAATAACCCACCATGATATACATGCAGTGCTCAGAAAAATTCCTGCCGCACACAATTTGATAAGCATTCAACCTTATTTTATTCTACGGCCTATAGCTCGTTATTATGAACCAAATTCATTATTATACATTAGAACTTTCTAAAATGCCATGCCTTTATAATAATGATTTGTGACTTAATTTCAATCCTTCCAACCAGGCACAAATAAGAATCAAAGAGAATAATATCCTTATTGTCATATAGATAAAGCCTTGACTGACATACTTTTGTAACCGTACTATGTAAATCAAATTTTATAAATAAATTGTATTTCAAATACACTAAGGGAGTAGAACTACCTGAGAGAGAGTGTTTATGTAAAGGGGTAAGAGAATGGGCTTCAGAGTCCAACAGACCCAGGATCAAATCCAGGCACTTCCATTTTCCAGGCTTAACTTCTTGATCTGTGAAATGGGTATATGCTCGTTCATTCAGGGTTCATTTACTTGCTATGCAAGTAAAGTAACACTTCTTTGTAGCATTAAGGAAGGTGATGTGAAGCTACTAGACCAGTGCCTGACACACAATCAGGGCCTAGTAAATGGCAGGGCTGCTGTTGATGGAACAATCCTGCTGCTGGAACTGGGGGTAGAGATGGAGAGAAATGATCTCTGCCTCATGAATTTATAGTCATGAAGCAAAGACAAATAAATGGGCAGATGATGATAGCTCAGGGTCCTAGAGGCTCTGTGCCAGAGGGAAACCAGAGTCCTGGGAAGCACAGAAGGGCATTAAACCCAAACCTAGGGCCAGAGGAATACCTTGGAGCTTCTCCTGCAGGAGGTGACATCTGAATTAGCCACAAAAAGTGGGCCAAACAAAGCATTTGGCTTCCCCTGTTCCCTTCTCAGCTGCCTTTGCTGCTGGAGAGAAGGCTGTGAGATCCAGGCCTTTCTACCCCTTTGATAATGGGATTAGCCCGAGTCAGGTAGAAATGCCCTTCATAATAACTGAACACTTTAAAAACATCAGTTAAGTGGGTTTAAACTGCCTCTGCTCTCCCTACCTCATAGAATATGGAAACATGGTTAACTACCAGGTCCATGAAAAATGCAGGTCGCCTCTCACCGTGACAGGTTAGAAGCTGGAGAGTTGGACACAACAATCAAACTGTATGTGCATACAGCCTTCCTTTGCCAGGATCCCTGAGACTGTGAGATTGAGGTTACTGTGAGCTATGACACTACGGCACTCTATCAAGTGAGACATAGCGAGACTCTGTCTCAAAAAAAAAAGGCCTGAACACAGCTGTCTGTGGTGGTTTGTGAGGGGTGAGGCTGCAGCAGGAATGGGACAGAGAGGATTTGTCCAACCACCCAAATTCAACCCCTACTTCCAAGTCTCCCCCAATAAGCATTTCACCAATCTCACCAGCAGGAGGAACTGTCGTCCCACCGCTATACAAACTCAGGAAGAGGCCTGAACTCAAGACTAACAAGTACTTCCCCTCAGGATCTTTTCCTTATTCTTTTTCTTATAAACTGTGTCTGGGAAATGTTGCATTTTTGTAACCTCTTATCATCACCAAGTTTTAAAATAGTGAAGATGGAAAGAACTGCATGGGAAAATGCATAACAGAGAGATGGTGTTTGATGTAAAAAAAATTAAATCTTTTTAAAGTCCTTTTCTCAGTGGGACAGGTTTGCCACAAGAACACAGAGACCATGAAAACCACCCTAAATCAAAGGCAGAATGGGAAAGGAAAAGGCTCGTGTCAATGTCACTGTCTTTGGACATGTAGATGCTGGCAAGTTCACCACTGCTGGCCATCTCATCTACACATGTCGGGGGATCAACAAAAGAACCATTGAAAAAGTTGAGAGGGAGGCTGCTAAGATGGGCAGGGCTCCTTCCGGGATGACTGAACATGAGCGTGGTATCACCACTGACTTCTCCCCCCGATGGGTGGAGGCCAGACAGTATTACACGACCATCGGTGATCCCAAGACACAGGGACTTTATCAAAAACACAATTGCAGGCGCATCTCAGGCTGACTGTGTTATCCTTATTGTTCTTGGTGAATTTGATGCTGGCATCTCCAAGGATGGGCAGACCTGTGTGCGCGCCTCTCTGGCTTACATACCATGTAGGGAAAAACTAACTGTTGGTGTTAATAAACCAGATTCCTCTGAGCCACCCTATTGTCAGAAGAGATATGAGACATCATTAAGGAAGTCAGCACCTTACATTAAGAAAACTGGCTACAGGCCTGACTCCGTAGCACTGGTTGGAATGGTGGTAACATACTAGAGCCAAGTGCTAACAAGCCTTGGCTCACGGATGGAAAATCACCTGAACAGATGGTAATGATAGTGCTCGAAGCTCTGGACTGCCTCCTGCTACCAACTCCTCCAACTGACAAGCCCTCGTCTCTGCCCTCCAGATGTCTACAATATTGGTGGTATTGTCTCCCTGTGGGCCCCAGTGGTATTCTCAAACCCAGCACAGAGCCACCTTCACTCCAGTCCAAGTTACAAATGAAGTGAAGTCTGTTGCAATGCACTATGAAGTTTTGTGCAAAGCGCTTCCTGGGGCCAATCTGGGCTTCAGTGTCAAAATTGTGTTATCTGTCAAAGATGTTTGCTATGACAATGTTACTGGTGACAGCAAAAATGACCTGCCGATGGAAACAGCTGTCCTCACTACTCAGGTGAC